AATTTTATTAATCTTGCCTGTGGCCTGTCATGAATTTAAAAGTTAAATGCCAAAACAATTTGGGGCCACACGGTGGTTAAGGTTCTGGACTCCCACATGGTCGACTGCAGTTCAAGTCCCAGACCTGATGGATTTCTCTCTCTCCCTTTTCCTCTCTCTCTCTAGTGAGCACAAATGCCCTATAGCAAAATTTAAAATAATATCTATAAAATAAAATAAATAATTCAAAAAATACTGAAATAACTGACAATACTACTAAAATTTTTTTTTTTTTGCTATAGGGCATGTGCGCTCGCCAGACAGACAGAGAGAGACATAGAGACAGAAAGCGAGAAATCACCCCCCGGGGGGATGGTCACGCCGCAATCCTCTTCTCCTCCATTCTCCTCTCGGGATCTTGGGCACGCACGCACACGCGCCCAGCATGAGATTTAAGCCACTGGGTGCAGGACACGAACCACGGTCGACTACGTGGGAATCCAGCGACATAGCCATTACGCTAACTGCTGGTTCCCACTACTAAAATATTTTTATCACTCTTCACTATCTCTTTACTACTGACAGTTTACTTTAAGGAAAATATGCAAAAACCTAAATTCATAAACTGTTATAGTGGTTAGATTCTGTGTCATAAATGGTTAAAAGTAGTATTCTTTTCAGTTGGTAGCTGCTCTGTAATTTTAAAACCATTCAACATTTGGACCCAGCATGTGACATAGTGGTTAAGGTGCCGGACTCCCATATAGCTGACTGTGGCTCAAGTCCCAGACCTGGTGGCTTAAAACTCATGCCGGGCTCATGTACGTGTGTGCCCAAAATCCCGAGAGGAAAATGGAAGGAAGGGATTGTAGCATGGCCATCCTTCATTGGGGGTGATTTCTCACTTTCTATATCTCTATCTCACGCATGTGCCCTAAAAATAACTATTGAGCATTTCAATATGACAAAAATCCATCGTATACAAAACATTAAGGTCCTTCCTATCATCTAAAGGCAAGGATCATTCATAGCAAAGAAAACTCCAAATATATATTCAAAAATGGACCCACTCCTTAAAAATGACATTTAAAGCACACAACCAGAAAATAAGAAAATAAATGTACAGGCAAAAAGTCTTAGCAAGTTTTACTGTAAAAATTACTCAGGTTCCATTTCCCAATGAATAATCCATCTGATAAAACAATTTTGATTTTGATGCCCAATATACATAGATATGCCCTCCATTTCCTTCAGATTTTTATTAGAATGGCATCATCATGTAATAAAGGAGAACATCGTCCAAAGGTATAAAATACTTAGAAATTCAACTGGCTTTTAAACAAGTTTTACTATAAAAATTACTCAGGTTCCATTTCCCAATGAATAATCCATCTGATAAAACAATTTTGATTTTGATGCCCAATATACATAGATATGCCCTCCATTTCCTTCAGATTTTTATTAGAATGGCATCATCATGTAATAAAGGAGAACATCGTCCAAAGGTATAAAATACTTAGAAATTCAACTGGCTTTTAAATGTTTTTTAAAAAATATGGCTAAAAGGTAATGAATTTTCTGGGACCAGCAGTTGGCATAATGGCTACGTTGCTGGACTCCCATGTAGTTGACTGTGGTTTGAGTCCTGGACCCAGTGGCTTAAATTCACACCAGGCACATGTGCGTGTGTGCCCAAGATCCTGAGAGGAGAATGGAGAAGGGATTGCGGCGTGGTCATCCCCCCACGGGGTGATTTCTCACTTTCTGTCTCTCTGTCTCTCTCTCTGTCTTTCTGGCAAGCACATGTACCCTATAGCAAAAACCTTTCAAAAAAAAAACTTAAAATGTAATAAATTTTCAGCATATGGCTCCATCTCAAGGTAAATATTCTCTTTTAAAATTATTAATTATTCTTCCTTTATCTATGCTGTTATTTATTTAACAATCTACTATATTATAGCTAATACATGTGTTTAGTAATTATCATTATGTTCATCACAGGAAGACTAATTTACTTTTGCCCTCGGCTGATTTTTTTTTTGGTGGGGGGGAGAGATTTTCGCTATAGGGCGCATGTGCTCACCAGACAGGCGGAGAGAGAGACATAGAGACAGAAAGTGAGAAATCATCCCCTAGGGGGGATGGTCACGCCGCAATCTCTTCTCCTCCATTCTCCTCTCGGGATCCTGGGCACGCACACACACACACGCCTGGCGTGAGTTTTAAGCCACCGGGTCCGGGACGCGAACTGTGGTCGACTACGTGGGAGTCCAGCGACATAGCAATTACGCTAACTGCTGGTTCCCTGCCCTCAGCTGATTTATAAAAATTATTATCACCAAATGTGTAGAAAGTAGGCTTCTTCTAAGTGACATCCTCTTCAGTACATATTTAAAAATCAACTCAGCAAACAGCTATGCAGTTGAGTCTCAACTATGAAAATGTTTGCTGGAGTTCAGATCTAAAAAGTTGGGATATGTCTGTGTAATCAATCACTATCCCCTGAAAATCTGGGATTTCATTTCCTAGCCCAAACATCCTTACTAGTATAGTCAGGCTTCAAAGAATCCTCTCAAGGACCTACAGGTATTACTGCAGAAAAAGAAAGCACAGGGAACAAGCAATAGCAAAAAATCATTGGCCATCTCAGATAACCTAATACTTCAAAGAAATGGAAGTCTTGAGGCTCATAGTGGCTTTCAGCATATCTAGAATTACTACAGCTTTGCCATAAAATTCTTACCTTCCTGCCAATCTTTTAGCTTAATTTCACAGCAGATAAGAGGGGCTCCAACTCTGCCAGTAGTAAAGTCAGTAACTATGAGGGAAAAAAAGTAACGAACATATTAGCACATTTATTAACTACATTTCAGATTCACACCAATACCAGGAACAATGGCATTAGAGCCAAAGTCTGGAAGATGACCAAGTAAGAGGCTGTATTGAGATGCCAATCTTTTAGCTTAATTTCACAGCAGATAAGAGGGGCTCCAACTCTGCCAGTAGTAAAGTCAGTAACTATGAGGGAAAAAAAGTAACGAACATATTAGCACATTTATTAACTACATTTCAGATTCACACCAATACCAGGAACAATGGCATTAGAGCCAAAGTCTGGAAGATGACCAAGTAAGAGGCTGTATTGAGAGAGTGCAAAGTGAGAACATTTTTTAATATTTCAACAGTGCATGTTTTTTGTATTTCATTGTTATATTTTAGGTAGTTAGGTTAAAAAAAATCTATTTTAAAGGAATTGGGCTACTCCACCAATATCACCAATATTTACCTAGGGTTCTGATAAGATAGGTTTTGACAGGAATTCCTGCTCTGCTACTGATTGACTGTGTAACTTGGACAAATTAGTTAATTTCTTCATGTCTAAGCTTCCATTTTTTATCTATTAAATGGAGAAATAACAGAATCTACCTCATACAAGATGTGCTATAATAATTTCATGAAATGATATGTGAACAATTATTAACCCTTGGCACAAGCTAATAGGCGGTTGATAAAAGCTAGCTGTTATCAAACACAATGATGATGATGATTTCCTTTGCAATTTGTGATTATTGCTAGCAATAGTAATCATGTATTTAAAGACTGCCCATTATGTACCCAGCAATATATTAAATTCTATGAAGGAAACACAAAAAAATAAGGAGATCCTGACCCAGTGATCCTAAGAAGCAAACTAATTGGGAAGAAATGTATGTTACGCAATTTCGGGAATATTTAAATACTAAACACCACAGTACTGTTGGTATGTAAGCACAATAGTACCTTAGAGGCTAGAAAGATCAATATAAAATTAAGTAACTAGGAAAGACTTTATTGAAGAGGTGAGCATTAAAAGATGGTTGTGACTATTTAGCAAAAAGAGAATTCCAAGATAATGAAACACAAAATACAAGAGAGGTGAGACCAAAAAATGCCTACATGAGAAAGAGGGAAAAGACTGGTTTGTCTGGAGAGAAGATCCACGTATATAACCATGTGAGGAGCAATAGAAAATAATGATGGGTAAGTACAATCTGCCTTATTAAAGATGTCTTGCAAACTAGGTAAAGGCATGTTTAGATCAGATACACCAGTTATCAGGCAATGAGTGAGATGGATGAGTCCAACAGAAGGATAGAGGATAAATAAGAAGTGTAATATAGGCAGACAGAACTGTAGAAAGGCTATTACCCCAGGTTAGTATAAAGTAATAAAAAGTTGAATGACAAACATAGCATGAAAGGGAAGAGTCGCCTAATGAAGGAATGAGAAGATCTGAGTTTTAGAAATAGTGAGATGACTTCAAAGTAGATACCCTCAATGACTTAAGGGATGGTGATACCATTGACACAAAGAAGCAATTGGGTGATGGTGAGACAGTCAGTATAAAGTGAAAGCAGGATCATAAATCAATTAATGAGCTAAAACCAAAAAAAAATCTCAATTCTTATACCCCAGTGTTTCTCAACCTGGAGTGATCTTTGCCTCCTAGGAGATATTTGGCAATGTCTGGAGATATGTTTTGTTGTCAGAGCTGGTTCTAGCAAGTTACTACTCATATGTGGCTGCTAAATATCCTAAAATACATGGGAGAACCACCAACAACAAAGAATTACTTAGTTCAAAATTTGAATAGTGCCAAGGTTGAGAAACCCTGCTTTAGGCTACAAAAATAATAGAAAACAAAGAAATCAGGACAGGAATGTAAATTCGAGGGGCAACATTAAAGTGATTCTTCAAGAGTACAGTTCTCCAAAGAAATCATCATTCAGAGAACAGAGATTAAAAGGCCAGGGTGACAGAATTTTAAAGACTGATAATATAGTATGAATATTTACAAGGGTTAAAAATAAAAGGTACATTTGGGCCAGTAGGTAGCATGGGGGTTAAGGTGCTGGATCCTACGTGGCTGGCTCTACGGTTCAAGTCCTGAACCTGGAGGCTTGAAAAATCACACCAGATACATGTGTGTGCATGCCCAAAATCCCGAGGGGAAGATGGAAGAGAAGGGATTGAGGCATGGCCATCCCTCAAGGGGTGATTTCTTAATTCTTTTTTCTTTCTCTCTGGTGAGTACATGGCTAGCTAGCAATCAATCAGTCAATCAACGATACCTATGATACTCTTAACTAAGAGTTTATAAAAACAGAACCATATACGTTTGCATTGAATCTGGTATTACTAAGGAGCATTGTAAAGTTTCCATGGCTTCCAAAGGTAATGCAAATGGATTTTTCTTAGTAGCGACTAACAAAGTTATCTGTCACATTAACAGTGCTTACCTTCAGTAACTGTCCCAGCACCACATGATTCTGTCAGACCATAACCCTGGCCAACTGGGCAGCAGAAGCAGACATTCATGAATCGGTGTGTCTGAGGGGACAGTGGGGCTCCACCAGACAGCATCATACGGACATTCCCTCCCAGCAGAGCCTTCACCTTTTTAAACAGTAACCTTGATTGAAGGGGGAATAAATGATTTTAACACATGCATATATTATTTTTGGTGACACACACATTTTTAAGCTCTGGGAAAGATTTCACAATTTTGGCTGAACATCTAAATTTCAGAATCATGATGATGAGAGGTTAAGAAAGTAACTAGTAATATTTCAAAAAAAATGCCAGAAAAACACTTCAAAATGAAAAAAAAGTGCAGTATCTGGAAACTTTTCTGACACACAGTAAATGAATGAAAATTATGTCAGAGGAAAAAACTTTTCAATTATCTTTGGAAAATTTAATTTATCTCTTTTATCTCCTTACTTTGGAACATTTTGTTTATCTCTTTTATCTCCTTTCCAATGAAAAATGCTTCTCCATTCCCATCCCTCACCACCACATCACATTCAAAATAATTATTATATTCATATACTTACTATAGTATTTTATTAATATAATTAATCAGAAACCTTTATGTGGAACAAATCTTGAAGACCATTTTTTTTGGTTGGAAATGACATTTTCAATCCTCAAGTAGCTTGATTTGAATATCTATCCTAGTTTTTCATGAGACCAAATTTTATAATTACAAGGCTAGTTTTTCTACAATGAGACTAAGCATTATAATTAAATCTTAAGTATTTATTAAGTTATTAAAATTTGTTAAATTGGCAAGATCAGAGTTCAGTATTTGCTGTATAAGATATGTACCTTAGAATAAAAGAGAAATTCAATCCTAAGATCATGATGGTGATATTCAATCTAAGTTAACTTGACATTTACTTATTTGTCAAGATTTAAAAACAGAAGATTTAAGAGCTCAAACCACAGAGTCTATGAAATATACTTACAGATTGCAAAGAGGTGCATCATATCCCTTTTTGATCTGTTCCAATTTGTAATCATACCCTATCTTGAACAGAGTTTTCTGAATATAATTCATTTCTTGGACTTTGCTCATAACATTTTTATAAATTCTATCCATGATTTCCTAAAAGGTAAACAAAATATTTAACAATCTGAAAAGAGTTGAGACAGTCCTTAGTTGAAAATGTCTTATTTACAAGATCTTAATAAAAGTCTTCAATATAATGGACAAGTTTAATTCCTTTTACTATTAAATGAATTTCACTGATTTTACTTGTCCAGTACTGTAAAACAACTAAAAACAAGTACAGGACTTTCTTTAGCTCAATATACTAAGTTCGACTGAAATTTTAAGAAATTTTCTTGTAGTACAGTGAATTCATTCAGAATTATCTTACAGAAAGATACTTTTCTAGGGAACCAGCAGTTAGCGTAATGGCTATGTCACTGGACTCCCACGTAGTCGACCGCAGTTCACGTCCTGGACTCGGTGGCTTAAAACTCACGCTGGGCGCGTGTGCGTGCGTGCCCAAGATCCCGAGAGGAGAATGGAGGAGAAGGGATTGCAGCGTGACCATCCCCCCTGGGGGGTGATGTCTCGCTTTCTGTCTCTATGTCTCTCTCTGTCTGTCTGGTGAGCGCATGCACCCTATAGTGAAAAACCTCTCCAAAAAAAAAAAAAGTTACTTTTTTAAAGGTTTTTGCCATAGGGCACGTATACTTGCTAGAGAGAGAGAGACAGACAGACACACAGAGAGAGAGAAAGTGAAAAGTCACCCCCAGGGGATATAGCCATGCCACAATCCCTTCTCCTTCATTGTCCTGTTAGGATTTGGGGCACACAAACTCACATGCCAAGTCTGAGTTTCACACCACTGTGTGCGGGACTCGAACTGCAGTTGGCCAAGTGGGAGTCCAGTGCCTTAACCACCACACCACGTGCTTGCTCCCAAGATAATTTGTTTTTAACTGCTAGAGGGTATGTACACTCACCACATAGACAGAAAAATGGTGCGAGGGAGAAAACACCCCACAATGATACATGGGCACACCTCAATTCCTTCTCCTCCATTTCTCCATCTTGTCTGGAATTTGGGCATGTACCCATGTCTAGCATGTTTTTCAAGCCATGAGGGCTGGTATTCAAACCATAATTGGCCATGTGAGATCTAGCTTCCTTAACTACTAGGCCACAGGGCTGACTCAGAAAGAAAATTTTTTTAAAAATCCTTCTTTCAAATATATTCACTTATTCTCAAATGGTACCAAAATAACCAACTAAATAGAATCCAATCCTGATACTTTTCTCTTTCTTATTGCTACTTTGTGACTTATGATATGGCAGACAGGTAATAGTTTCTTGAAAATCATAATGTTGGGGCCAGCAGGTAGCATGGTGGGTAAGGGACTAGACTCCCACATGGCCGACCATGATTCAAGTCTCGGACCTGGCGGCTTGCTCTCTCTCGCTCTCTCTCTCCTTCTCTCATTAAATTAAAGAATAATAACAAAAAATTAAATAAGTAAATATTTTTTCAAAAAATAATGTTAACCAAAGTGAGGCAAAGGTAGAAAGATACATGTTGTATATACCCACTTGATATGTTCCAAATGTTGGCATTCTATGGCAGAAATTGAAAAAAATCTAAAGATATGATAGTAGAGAGGGTAAAGTATAGACATCACAGACTTCAAGAGAGGGGAATGGGTGGTGGAGACTGTATGGAAGGGGTAAAGAGAAGACACATTTAACAGACGAGAGTATGTAAAATTCCCTGTCTAAACCAAAAAGATCTGGGACCAGTATGTGGCGTGGTAATTAAGACGCTGAACTCCCACATGGCTGAGTGTGATTCAAGTCCTAGACCTGGTGACTTGAAAATCATGCTGGGCACATGTGCATGTGTGCCCAAAGTCCCAGGAGGAGAATGGAAGAGAAGGGATTGTGGTGTGACTATTCCCCCTGGGGGCTGATTTCTCACTTTCCCTCGTATTGTATCTCTCTAGCAAGCATATATGCCCTATAGCAAAAACCTTTAAAAAAATCTATAACTTTGACTTTATAGAAATAAAAATTTTTAAGAGAGATTTTTGCTATAGGGCACATGTACTTGCTGAAGACAGAAACATGCACACACACACAGATATATATATATATATATATAGAGAGAGAGAGAGAGAGAAAATCACACACACCCCCATGGATATGGCCATGCCACAATCCCTTTTCCTCTATTCTCCTCTTGGGATATTGAGCACATACCTGGCATGAGTTTCAAGCTGCTAGGTCTAGGATTCAGACCATGGTCAGCCATGTGGGAGTCCAGCTCCACAACCACTATGCCACCTACTGGTGCCAAAATAAAATTAAAAAAAAAAAAAAAATTATATAATGTAGGCATTTCTATAATTTTTTTCTTTTTGTATTTTTAGTTTTTGCTATATGGGCGTGCACTTGTCAGAGAGAAGGAGAGGGAAAATGATTTAAAAACAAAAGCCCAATGGGAATGGTCATGCTGCAATCCCTTTTCTTCCATTCTCCTCTAGGGATTTTGGGAATTCACACAACATGCCTGGTGTGATTTTCAAGTTGCTGGGTCCAGGATTTGTACTGCATAGTCGGCCATAAGTGATCCAGTGCCTTAACCTCCATGTCCTTTGCTGGCCTCTCTATCACATTTTAATAAAAGCAACAATAATGACAACAACAACAGAATAGAATTCTTCCTTGAAACTATTTAGAGATAAGCAGTAACTTACAATTAGAGATAAGGCAAGGTTTAAGATATATTGAGTCGTAGGTGAATACATACAAGAAAATTCTTAGACTATCACTAAATGATCTTAATTAAAATTACTTAGCACAAATTAAGAATTATTTCATAAAGCTTTATTATCTATAAATGCCACATTTAAAATATTTAAAATATCAATTATCAGTGTAAATTAAGTTGTACTATCATGAATAAATTTATGGATTGCTCTTTCAATATTGGAGTAAAGTCATTTATTATCCAGGAAAGTAGAATCATTCCTTAAGAAAGTGATTGCAGGACCAGTGGGTGGCACAGTAAGTAAAGCGCTGGATTCCCACATGACCAACTGTGGTTCGAACCCTGGACCTGATGGCTTGAAAATCATGTTGCATACATGTGCGTGCATGCCCAAAATCCCATGAGAGGAATGGAGAAGAAAGGATTATGACGTGCTATCCTGTCTCTCTGGGGAATGCACATGTCCTATGGCAAAAAAAAAATAAATAAAATCAGCCAGCGGTATGGTGATCAAGGCAGTTGGATCTCCTACACATTTGGCTCAGTGGTTCGAGTCCCAGCCTTGGCTGCTTGAAAAACATGCCAAGTGTGCGTGCTTGCATGCCCAAACTCTCAAAACTTGAGAAAAATGGAAAAAATGGGCTTGAGGCATAACTATGTTCCATGGGCTGTATTTTCTCACTTTCCCTTTCTCTATGTCTTCATCTGGCAAGTGCATGTACCCTCTGACAAATTAAAAAGAAAAGAAAAGAAAAGAAAAGAAAAGAAAAGAAAAGAAAAGAAAAGAAAAAAGAAAAGAAAAGAAAAGAAAAGAAAAGAAAAGAAAAAAGTCTATTGCCAGCATCCAAGCCTAGTACAATGTTCTCATCTCCACTCCCACAAAAGAAATCACTATTGTGTAATCGAAATATTTCTCTAGAACTGTAATGGAGAAATCCCAATAGTTTCTTAGAAGAACTCTATTATCCTAAAATCATCCCTCTTAAAGGTTTATGGGAGGTATCAGCAGGTGGTGGAGGTTAAGGCACTGAATCCCACATGGCCAACTGCACAGTTTGAGCCCCACACACAGTGGCTCAAAACTCATGCCTGGTGTGTGTGTGTGTGTGTGTGTGTGTGTGTGTGTGTGTGTGTAAGGCCCAAAATCTGGAGAGGAGACTGGAGAAGGGACTGAAGCACAGCTGTCTCCCCAGGGGGGTGATTTCTCACTTCTCCCTCTCTCTCTGGTGAGCATACATGCCCAATACTAAAAAGTATATAGTATCTGTAAGAAAAAAAAAGCAAGTACATGGGAGTGAGACAGAGTGTGAGAACCACTCAGTAATTCTACTGGTTCTTCCGACATTAGATACTAATTACAGGTGTGGAAAGGCCTCAGTGAGTAAAGAACACAATACAATTGCAATTACTTGGCAGGATTTATTGTTTACATATGAAGTTACCCTTTATGTCAACCTGACATTACATGATATTCAGTTGAGTCACTGCTTACAAGAAGTATAATTTATTCTGAACTTCCATATTGTGAATACTATTGTACTAAATCAATCTTCTATTCTAACCCAGGAAAGAAACAAACTTGGAAAACAGAATCTTTCAAGAACAATTCTCAATAAAGATTCTTTTTTTACAAAAAGGCCTATTTGGGGTCCACTAGGTGGCATGATGGTTAAGGCACTGGACTCCTGCATGGCCAACAATGGTTCATGTCCTAGACCTGGCAGCTTGAAAGTCACGTTGGCATGTGTGTGTGCAGGGCCGAAATCTCAGGAGGCAAATGGAGGAGAAGGGATTATGGTGTGGCCACTCCCCGATGAGTTATTTCTCACTTTCTCACTCTGTCTCTGTCTTTTCTTCTCTCTGACAAATAAATGTATTCTATGGCAAAAACCTAACAAAAAAAAAAAGTTAAAATACTAATTCATCTTTCCCTCTTTGGTATCTAAGCTTTTATTTAAAAAAAAAAAAA